GTTTACTATAGAATAGTACGCTAGGGGTTTACTATATAGGTGTAAACTAACCTTATATATACCTATAAATAGGTTTAAAGTAGTAGTTTACTTTTTTATAGTATTAACATAGTGTGGTTTACTATAGACCTATTAGTAGAGTAAATAAAGTAGTTTATAATAGACCTATTAGTAGAGTATATGAAGTAGTTTACAAAAGATACAATATAAGTATTAGGTATAGTAATAATAGTATTAGATTTTTTTTAGTATCCTTATATAAACTACTATGCTGTGGCATAGGGTGTATAGGAGAAAACGAGGCTTAGCCTAAAAGGTTAGGTAGGATAAATAGTATAAAGGTAAGAAGGATTAGAGGATAGAATAGTATTACTCCTAGGGACTATACTTCAACTCTATAATATTAACCTTTCTCTTATAATCCTATATTAAATTTATGTGTACTATAATAGGACTACTATTATTAAACTTAGCCCCTCCTACTTCTCCTTATTTAAATAGGTTACTCTCCCTAATAGTTTAAATAGCAAAGCCTAAGGGGAACTTATCTTATCTTAGTAAAGGGGAGGTCCTAGTATTAGGTAATTAAGAGGATATTTCTCCTCGTATAAGGGGTGGGTAGAGAAAAGTTAGAAAATAGGTAGTATTAATAATTAACACTATTAAGGTAAAAATAGTAGGCCTATCTTAGGACGTAGCTAATGCGCGTTAGTAGGAATAGAGTAATAATACTGAGAGGCTAACTAGAAAACACTAGAACTAGAATAACTAGAACTAGAATAACTAGAACTAGAACAACTAGAACTAGAATAACTAGAACTAGAATAACTAGAACTAGAATAACTAGAACGAGAATAAGCAGAACTAGAATAACTAGAAGTAGAATAACTTAAACTAGAATAACTAGAACTAGAATAACTAGAACTAGAATAACTAGAACTAGAATAACTAGAACTAGAATAACTAGAACTAGAATAACTAGAACTAGAATAACTAGAACTATTAGAATAATTAGAACTATAAGAGGTATTAATAATACTAGAAGTGCTAGAATACCTAGAATATTACTACTAATAGAAAAGCTATAGCAAAGGCTATAGGATAGTATGCGCTATTAGTAGGAAAATAGGGCTAGGCTAAGCTACTAATATAACAAGAACTTACTAAAAATAAATATAAGTACTAGCACTACTTAAGAAGCGTATTAGGGATATAACTACTAAGGAAGAGAAGATAGTCTATAAGAGTAAGAGATAAGAGAAGAAGGAAATAATATAAGTAAGTAGATACTAACTTATCTAATAATTTTAATTAATATTACTAGTTTATACACCTCCTTTAATATTTATAGAAGCCTACTACCTTAGCTAAGCCTATTCTTTTTACTAGGAATAATACCTAGAGAAAGTAATATTACCCTAGGGTTAACTAAAATAGAATCCTCTAGACCCCTAAGAAGAGTCCTGGTCCCTATAAGGCCTAGGAAAACTAACTTTTAGTTCTAGGGGAGAGAGGTTACAGAGTTCTTAGATAACTATAACTACTAAGTAGAAAATAGGGGGCTAGATAAAGTAGACTAGCTAAAAGTTCTGCTAGACTTCTATAATACTATATATAGAATATTTGTAAAGAAGCTTAGACCCTACTAGAAGCAAGACTAGGAGGAGCTACAGGAAGCTATAAAGGAGCGCTAGAGGGACTAGGATATAGCCTAAAGGATAGGTACCTAAACCTTCCTAGATACGTATATATAAGAGGCCTCTAGAAACTTCCTAGGTCTTTTAGACTACTATACTAATTTTATAGTATATAGTAATACCTACCTAGTATCTAAATAGCTATATAAAAGCAAAGTTAGATTCTTCTTCTCTAGAGGGTTACCCTAGGTAGATAAAGAGCTAGTCTTGCTTAGTATACTAGGAGGACCTAATAGTAATAAGGTAGTAAGCTATAGGCTAGAGAAGATCTATACCTATATTAAAAGAATCTATTAGTAAAGAGAAGGAATAAACTATATATTAGCTAGCTAAATAAATAAAGATACTTAGTAGGTATATTAGATATTAGAATTAGTAAAAGCTACACCTACAAAGAAGGAAATTATAGAAGTAGTAAAAGTTGTTAAAAAGGAGTAAGCTACTACCTAGTAACTACTAAATATTAACCTAGAAATAGACTAGTTAATTAGGGTACTAGGAAAAATAAGGATAAGTTTAGCTAAGGGTAATAGGTTATAGGAATACTATATAATAGGCCTACTACTAAAAAGCCTAGTAAACTAGCTCTACTTTATTTTATATATAACTAACGCTAGGATAGAGTAAGGAATACATTAGAATACTATAGTAGCTAGAGGGTTACTAATAAACTAGCTAAGAACCTAGGGCCCTATATAGATATTAACTACCTAGCTAGTGCTATAGAGTTATAGGGGGTATAATAAGAAACCACCTACCTATAATATATATAGAGTAGAAACCTACTTAGTAAGAGACTACCCCCCCTAGCTAGAACTTATAGCGCTAGGGTAGGTAAGCACTTCCTAGAATCTAGAAATAAGAACTAGGATATTTTACTATAAACTATTATATAAAAGACTAGGGCAGGTTACTAAGCTAGTACTATAGAACTATACTCTTTACTAAATAAAGTAAAAGTTACGCAAATACTATAAAGTTACTAAGGATATCCTTAGCTAGCTAGCGTTATAGGTTAAGCTAGAACTATTTAATAGAATAGATTTAAGAGGCTAGTAGTAGAGGTAGACTTAAGGACTAGACTACCTAGTATTAAAAAGAGTAGGAGCTAACGTTATATCTTCCTAGAATTAAGGATTAGAACTAGTAGATACTTAAAGAGAATATAAGCAGTTCTTAAACTATTAAATACTATAACCTAATAAGGAAGACCTAGTAGTAATAACGCTAGATTATATAGACTTAAGATATATTATCCTAGGATTAGTAGACAAGAATACACCTAGGATCCACGCCTCTATAAGGGAGAAAGAAAAGCAAAGGGACTAAGTCTTAGAAGAAGTAAGGGTAGGATTAATCTAGAAGCGCGGGCAAGGAAGACTAACACAAAACCTAGTAAACTAAGAAGAGGGGGCAAGTAAAGAGATAGAACTTAAAGAAACCCTAGAGATTCTATACCTAGCTTAGGCCTATATAGACCCCTTTATAATAATCTAGCTACTAGATAGTATGGGTAAAGGCTATATAAATTTAGGGCCTAATTAGGACTAGCTAGTAATAAGAAGAAAGGTATAGTTTAAAGAAGTAAAGGATAAGGAGCTTAAGGGAATAATACGCCTAAGCCTAAACTAAATAGTAGCTAACCTACTAGGGTAAGATTATTTATAGGAATAAATTAAGATATATGGAAATCTAGATTACTAAGGTTAGGAATGATTTAGGAGATGGATTATTAGATTGTATCTACTACGATTGTACTTATATATATAGAGCTTTAGCTACCCTTACTAGAAGGTAAATAATTAGTAAACCTTCCTTACTAGAGCTCCTGCTTTTTATTAGGCACTTAGTAGTAAGCTAGCAGTTAATTAGATAGTAGGTTATATAGGGGTATTAATTAGGATTAATTAGATTAAGATACTCTATAATCTAGTTAATATCCCTCCTATAACACACCCCCTAGGTATAGGTAGATCTTTTATTATTATAGTTACGCTTATAGTTAGTAGGTAGTATAGCTAATTAGAGCGTTGTATATCTAAAGGGTTAAATTAGCTTACCCTTTAGATACTAACTAGCGTACCTTCCTTATTTAGCCTGCGCTTGCGCGTGTAGATATTATCTAGACTAAGCTCTATAACTCTATCTACCTAACTATAATTTTTACTATAGCTTAAATTATAAGATTATATAACCCTAAAGATCTAAACTATACCTATATCCCTACTAACCTATATCTTAGTTAAAGTTAAAAACTACTACTTGCGCTTACTCTACCTGCGCTGCCCTTATTACCTCCTACGTAGCTAAAGCTATAGTTGCTAAAGCCACCACTACTAAAGAAGAGCGTGCTACTACTAAGCGTAAGGCTATTATAGAGCGTGTAGTAGCTAAGTATATAGCTACTACTACTATAGTTAAGATTATAAAGCTAAGGAAGAGCGCTCCTACTCTAGCTCTTACTACTCTAGCTCTAACTCTAGCTCCTGCTCCTCCCTAGACCCTGCCCTATATCCCTACTCCTACTCCTACTCCCTCTCTAGCTCCTAAGGAGACCCTAAGATCCTCCTGCTATAGAGAGCCTAGTATTTATCGTGCTAAAACTTGTCTAAATTATCTACGCTCCGCGCTCTTTAATAAGTCTAATAGCAAGTGCTATAACTCTTCTAGTAGGGGGACTTAGTACTAGTAGTGCTCCTCTAGGTATAGCTATATCCTAATATATATAATCTATACAAGAATTTTCCTTGTATAGTACGCTTTAGTAAG